GAAGGGACAGGGACACGCGTCCCGCCGCGGGCAGACATGGGGATGCTGTGGGGACGTTGTGGGGACATTTTCATACAGAAGGATGAAGGATTTTCCCACAGAATTCCCACACAATTCTAGGCACGGCCGCGCTGGCCGCACTGCGCATGCTCAGCTCGGCGCGCGTGGCGGCGGCGGGCGCCAGGACCCAACGGCGGGTGCCTGATGTCACGTGAGCGGCACCCAGCGCTACCATTGGCTCAGGGGATGACATTTGGGGATGTCATTTGGGGATGACAAAAACCACGCGCGTCACTTCCGGGTTACCTCAGTGCGCGTCGGGGCCGCGCAGTGATCGGGCCGGGCCCTGCTCGTGTGTTCGGCGTGTGCGAAAAGCCACGCTATTAAAAGCCAGGGTCCACAAAGGAAATAGAGGAGTTCTGCAACTTTATTCGAATAAAAGGAGAGAGTCCAGTACGCCGTACCCCCGTGGGGTCTCTCTCGAGATTTCGGAGGACGCAGCCTCCTTTTATCCTAAACTCCCGGCCGCACGTCACCCTCTTCCTTTCCCCATCGGCTGAGGTACAGTGGCAGGAGCTGGGCACTGGATTGTGTAAAGCAAGCATGGGATAATGAATTCTTGTCTTCACATAACCGAGTCCTGTTCATTATGTTTATCAAAGGTGAAGATCAGCTTGAATTTGGGGACTCCCAAGGGCTAAAAGGAAGCTGCTGATGCAGATGTAAAACATTTCAGGATCTGCTGGAAGTGCCGAGGAGTTTGAAGGCTGACAGAGCCATCCTGCAGTGGAGCAGTGTGGAAAGGCACAGGCAGACCTGGGAAAGGAGGTGTGGAGAGGTCAACTCCACCCTTTTGCCTCCTGCACAACCAGGAGTGAAAAACATTGGCAATACCAAGGCCTGAACAAATTCAAGCAAACAAATCTTCCCTGCTCCTTGTCAGCAAGTGGACAGCAGAGAGCTGCTCCTAAAACTGGGCTCCTCTTTGAGGAAACTGCTGCAGAGTAACAGGGAAAGTGTTTAGAGACAGTAAACATCCCATCCTAGGCTGCTCTTCTCTTGTGCTGTGGGACTTTGGCAGAAGAACAACTCCATTGGAGTTCTGAATGGTTTAAGCTCACTAAGAGGAACATAAGTACTATAGTGACAAATGCCAATACAATTCCTTTGGACTATGGAGGAAAGAAAAACCTACCAATTTCAGTCAGGATCTAAAATATCCCTTCTAGCTGACACAGCAAAGCAGGGACTGAAAGGCATCCACACCTAGCAAAGCATCCATACTTTCAGCCAGTGACCCATATAAAATGAATAAATAATTCATAATTACGGATGTAGTGTACACCATGAATGTCAAGAAGGGTTCCAGACAGAGAAGCACAGCAGGCATGCTCTGCTCTCTGGAAGGAAAAGTCCTCCCGTTACTACTGGCACTCTGGCAAGTCTCTGGACTGCAGAGACACAACTGAACCTCCATTTACAGCTGCAAAGCCACATTAGATATTTTTCCCATGTTGTTCTACAGCCCAGATTGACTCCACAATTCCTGAAGTTGAGAGGAACTGTTCAAAGAATGCACTGGCATAGTAGCACGGTACCAGCACTCCAAAGCAGGTGCATAATAAATTGAAGAAAGCAAGATTCAGTCCCGAAGAACTTAAGTTCCTTACTTCCTCTGTTCACCTCTGGCTTTGCCCCCACGTACAAGAGGAGCTTTTCACACTGAGGCTTAGGTGAAGCAGCAGCTGCTGTCTTGTTCTTTTGGATTGAAGTCTCCAGTTCCTGCTGTTGCTCAGATCTGCAGCTCTCAAACAGGCAGGAGCTCGGGGGGGTACTCGCCATAGCAGTATTTGGCAATTGGGTCTCTGTAGGTGTTCTCGTGCTGCACGCTCTGCCAGGAAAGGAGGAGAAGCTTTAGCAAAATAACACACAGTGAAACAAGGCATCCCTTCACTGAGGGGCAAAACCCACGGCGTTCATGCACAGGGAAACAAAATAAATCCCAAATTCTTCTACACATCAGTGTCTTTGGAGTGAAAGAACTCTGCACTGCCAACACACAAGAGCCAGTTGATGTATTACAGCACTGCAGTGTTGAACCAGAACCTCCTTTTCAAGAGAGCAGCCAAGCAGGTGGGAACAGATTTCATTAAAAAAAAAAAGAAATTAGGTATGTTCAGGCAATATCATCAAATGTTCTAAGGAAGCAGAGCACAATAAAGTTGCTACCTGAAATGTGTGCCTTTTTCTTAATAAGGGGTAGAGTTCAGATTTTATGGGTTAAAAAATCCATAACTCCAGTAACTTTGGAGACTTTTGGAACTCTATCCTTTGTTTGCAGTCCACCCTCATATTGCTCCATGAAATAGTGAAGCTGCAGGACACAGCTAACAGCACTTTCTAAAAGGGCCACTGCTTGCTTAGACCAAAACTTCTAATCAAATCCCATGGGTAACAGAAGTTCTCTGTCCTTAACAAGCAAAGAAATTACAGCATAGTTTTTACTATGCAGATGATTGTCAGCACATGGTCAGTCTCCAAGTGAACCATAAAACAAAGAGCATTCTGAGGCTACTGGGAACAGCTCTCACTGCTTCCATCCTAATGAGATCTTCCCCAGAACTCATCTGAGATCTTCACTGCTGGTTGAACTCCGTCTCTTTTTAGCTAAGTCCCTCTTTTCTAAGGAGAATGTGCAATTTCTCCTGCTCTAAGTATGTGCTTTGCCTTCAGACTGGCTCTCAGCCACTGCTTCAACTTTCCCGAAAATACAAACACAACACACCAGGCATCCACAGGACTGAGCCCCATTTTCCAAGGGCACTTTTTTGGGCCCTGGACATGTGTTTGTGCCTCACCTGTGATGAAGTCCTACATTTGGCCAGACACAACTCAAAGTGATCTTCCACTGCCATGAAGAGGTTTTGGAAAGCAATGGCTGCCCGGTTCAAGAACCGCTCCAGGAGATGTTGCTGAAGAGCAAAGGGAAGGGAAACACTCTGCTTCAGCAAGGAGAAACCAAAGCCCACCCTAACCTACAAAGCTCAGGTGTCAGAGGAATAGTATGCAAGTCCACTTAGGATTTCTAGCAAGCACTGAAAGGCTAAATGCCTCAGGACCCCAGCAGGACAAGAATCTAAGAGAAGCTCACAGGATACAGGGAAGTGCCAATAACAAAACTAACACTGGCTGGAGTAACTCTTCTGCAATCATTTCCCTTCAGCAAATGCAATCCCCTTGAAGCTGAAACACTTTGCAAGGCTCCCAAAGGTGGGAAGGATGAATTTTGTTAAAGCTCTATTTACAGCTTGCCATTTGCTCTTTGGAAGCTTTTCTCATCCTTCCAAGGAAAGGAACTGTCCCTCGAAGGGAAAAGCTCTTCAAAAAGCAGCTCTTTTAGCCACAGAGGAACCCCAGCAGCTGAGAACACCTGGAAAGCAGGAGAAAGGCCATCACCTTGCTGGGCTGCAGGCAGCAGGACACACAGTACTCGTAGATGCTGCAGCAGCCGTTGGGCAGGCAGCTGTCACAGCTGTACAGCTTCGTGCTGGGCACATTCACATTGCAGCAGCCGTTCACCAGCAGGTCCTTCCTCTCACAGATGTACCCTGGAAAACAGCAACAGGAGTAACAGCTGGCAAGGCACACCCTTCTGTTTTACCAAAATCTGCAGGAAGGATCACATTCCTTAAGAGCAGATTTGTTTATAATTTAGTAGATTATGAACTCCCTCAGTCCTGTGTAGCCATTCTTTGAAATGGAGAGCCTGGTGTTACCTGCACAACTATTATATCCTACTCTAGTATGTGCTGTATATACATTATGAGTATTTAATTGCAGATTATTTCAGTTCTGACTTTTTTGGGGAATAGTTCCTTGTTGTGAAAGGGGGAATGGGATTGACATTGGTTATATTGTAAAAAAACCATGCCACACGTTTTTTCAACGTGTCTGTGTCTGGATAATTCTCTTACACCTCAGTATGAAGAGACTTAGATTTAGCCATGCAGGCTGGTGTAATATCCATTGCTGAATGGAATCCTTAACAGCATAGAAATATCCTGTGTATCCTTATGGAAGCAGCACTACCACAGTGTTAGACTGTGAGAGATCTGTAATTTTTAGAGATCTTATGAACTGGCAATAAGCCTAAGTCAGGCAGTGCCAAATTTAACATTGATGCAAATCACAAAAGATGTGGTGGGTTTTTTACAGCCTTGATTTGTGGCCAAGAAAGATTCAGGGTCTAAGCAGGGCAGGAAAGGGTCTTTAACTTCTACCACTTAAAACAAGTGGTTAATCACCTTGGGTTTACAAGGGTCAGACAAGATTGTTAATTGTTCTGAGCACTAATTACACCTGCCCTGAGCTGCCTCCATACAAAGCCAAGGTTTCCTCAATTGCTCTCCCTAACGCCCCTGACAGTGGGAATACACTGCAGGGAGACACAAAGAGCTCTGCAAATTGAGCAGGACTCAGCATTAGGGTTCTGGCAAAGGTAACTGGAATTCTTTGACTTTAAGGTGGCCACAGTCACACTCATACAGCCCTGGGCCCGAGTCTGGGGTGCACAGCAGCATCTGCAGCTACAGTGAAATTCAGCCAGCCAGAGGAGAACAGGCCAAGAGCCAAGTGAAAATGCCTTAATAAAGAGCAGCAGTTCCATGAA